GTCACTCATAGTCTGTCGCCATCCTGGATGAGACAACGCTTCACCTGTAGACTTAGGGATGAAAACCGAGGATAAAGAAGATATAAAAGCATAATGGGAAGATGACAGACGATGATAACTTAAACCGACATAATAGGGATTAGGATTAAGTATGGTCCGTATACCTTTCCGAAGTGCAATCGGTGTACTAGGAAGAGACAAGTCCACAGTAGGAGCAGGGTCAGGTGCACGACGAGAACCAGTTGGGCCTGATGTAGGGCGCAGACGACGATGATAAGTCAAGAGTGGTGTTCCTGTGGCTGGGGATCTAAGAGGAACAACACTAGACTCCTTAACGGTTGGTATAGGTGAAACTTATTGGTCGAAGGTGGTGGAGGAGGAGCTATAGTAAACTCCTCAAAGGTCGGTATAGGTAAGACCTCAGATATATCATGGTGGTCAACAGAGGTAAAGAAAGGTTTAGACTAAAAAAAATGTGACGTCAGCTGACATAAGGTACCTACGAAGATCAAGGGAATAACAACGATATCCCTTCTGAACACGAGAATAACCAAGGAAGACATACTTGAGAGCACGAGGAGCTAACTTATCTCTCCCGGGGGCTAAGTTATGAACAAAATACGTGCTCCCAAACACACGAGGTGGAAGAGAGTATAAGGGTGATTGGGGAAACAATACTGAATGCGGAATCTGATCCTTGATGGGAGATGAAGGCATCTGATTAGTCAAATAACAAGCTGTGAGAACTGCATCGCCCCAAAAACGCAACGGAACACGAGATTCAATTAGAAATGCGCAAGTAGTCTCAATAAGGTGCCTATTCTTTCTCTCTGCAACCCCATTTTGCTGAGGGGTATAAGGACAAGATGTCTGATGCATAATTCCTTGAGAAGTCATAAACTGCTGAGACTGAGAAGATAAATATTGTAAGGCATTATCACTGCGCAAAAATGCAAATAGAAACACCAAATTGGTTTTTGATTTCAGCACAGAAACTCTAGAATATAGAAAATAACTCAGAATGATCTTTCATTAAGAAAAGCCAAGTACATCTTGAATAATCATCAATAAAACTAATAAAATAACGAAATCCCAAGGTTGAACCGACTCTACTAGGACCCTATATATCAGAATGAACTAAGGAGAAAACAGACTCTGCATGACTCTCAACACTACGCGGAAAGGAGGCTCGGGTATGTTTGCCAAACTAACACGACTCACAATCTAATGTAGACAAACTAGATAAACTAGGCACCATCTTCTGAAGTTTGGATAAACTCGGATGTCCTAAACGCCTGTGGATTAGGTCTGGAGGATCTGTAACTAGACATGTTATGGAAGGGCTAAGTGAGTTAAGGTAGTAAAGGCCTTCTGATTCACGTCTTGTACCAATTATTTGTCCCGTACTGTGGTCCTGCATAATAAAAGAATCGTCAATAAAATATATACCACAATGGAGGGCACGAGTCAAACGACTAACAGATGCAAGAATAAAAGGACAGTCAGGGACATAAAGAACGGAGTCTAGGGTGATAGAAGACAAGGGATTAGCTTGTCCAACTCTTTTTGCCTTAGTTTGACATTCATTGGCTAAAGTAACAGTGGGAAAAGACTCTGAATATACAATATTCGACAAAAGTAATATATTACCTGAGATGTGATCAGAAGCGCCTGAATCCATGACCCATGATCCAAGAGTACTAGACTGGGAAACACAAGCAAAAGAATTACGAGCAACAGAAGTATCAGTCTGAGCACCCGAGGCTACTTGTGGAGATGTCTGCTTACTTGCTCAATACTGAAGGAGCTCATTATATTCTTCTTTAGATAAAGAAAATCCCCGATTACCTGTAGTCTCGGTCTAAGCAATGTAAGCATTTTTGGGTGGACGACCATGTAAGGAATAGCACATTTCATGAGTGTGTCCAAGTTTGTGACAATAAGAACACTTGGGTCTAGATCTTCCAAAACGACCTCCTCCTCGTCTATTCTCCATAGTTTGAGATGCCCGAACATCCACTGTCTAGGATGCGAGAACAGAGGAATCGAGTATCTGTGATGAGATCACTGGGTGACTTGGTGCTGCAGCAAGGCGGAGTAATCGAGAGAATATTTCATCAACTGTGGGGACAGTCGGACTAGCCAAAATCTGGCCGCGTACTGAATCAAGATCATTAGGAAGTCCAGCGAGGGTAAGAACTAGAAACATCTTCTGTTGCTGCTCTTGTTGTTTTTTAACACTAGCAGAAACTGGCATCAACTTCTCAAATTACTCCATGACTGCTTGTACTTGACCCAAGTAAGTAGACATATCTAATCCATGATTCTTTAAGTTTGTCATCCGCGATATCAGATCATAAAAGCGAAATATGTCATTAGTGTATAAGGTCCGAGCCTTTGCCCAAACCAAATAACATGTCTGGAATGGACGAAACAAGGGCATCAACTTGGAATCAATAGATCACCACAAGATGCTACATAACTGAGCCCCGATCTTTGCCTAAAGTGTTATCGCCTTTTCATCTCATTCGCTAGACTGTTTGATTAGATGATCTTGGACACCTTGACCTTTACACCACAACTCGACAGATGAAGCCCAAGTTAAGTAGTTTGAACTTCCCATTAAAGGTTCCGAGGTAATCATAACACTAGAGCTTCCAGAACTCATGTTTCTAGACCCAAAAATATCAAATCTCAAAGATATTGTTACAAATTATTACCAAATAAAAGAAAGAATCAACTGTAATCCACTAAAACAGAGTAAGAAAATATTGTAGTCGTCGGAATCTTACTGTAGCTGCCGGAAAAAACAATGTTCACGCTGGAAGAATATAAAAGTGGTCGGAATTTGGTGTAACCTGGATGGGTAGGCTCAGAATTCCTTTGCGAATAATCTGTCCCAAAGAAATTTTTCCAAAATGTGACCGGAAAGGGCCCCACGCGCCGACGCATGACGTCGTAACTTCGCCGGAAAAATTTCTTCTGGTGGCGCATGGGAGCGCGTGGAGGGTCTTCTGACAGAGATATTTTTATGGGTTGATCGTCGGAGGTCGATCTACTTCATGGTGGTGTTGGTTTTTGCACAACATTGACAAAAAATGGCTTTTTTTTTAACTGCAACAGACCTATGTTTGCCGGAAAAAAGACTTCTGGTTGACTGATTTCTCTTCCCGGAGCCGCTGAAATTTATGCACAGTGATAAATCTCTCACGATTGCTATGATACCATGTGAGAAAGCACGGGAGAAAATATATTATTGATATTAGATGCTCAATACAATACAAGAGGTCCTTATTTATAGCTATACTCTACAAGGACATATTACTCCTATTCCAATGTGGGACAAGACTACATTATGTACATATGTGTAAACTAACAGTTGGATATTCAGATGCTGATTGAGCAGGATCGCCTTGTGATAGACGTTCTACGTCTGGATATTGTGTCTTAATAGGAAGTAATTTGGTGTCTTGGAAGAGCAAGAAACAGGATGTGGTTGCTCGGTCTAGTGCAGAAGCAGAATATCGAGCAATGGCTATCGCGACATGAGAGCTAATTTGGATCAAACAGTTGCTTTGAAATTTGGTGAGCTCGGCTAGATGGAACTTGTGTGTGATAATCAAGTTGATCTTCATATTGCGTCAAATCCAGTATTCCATGCGAGAACTAAACACATTGAGATTGACTGTCACTTTGTCAGAGAAAAGATACTCTCGGGAGATATTGCTACAAAGTTTGTGAAGTCGAATGATCAACTTGCAAATATTTTCACCTAGTCCCTCACTGGTCCTCGTATTAACTACATATGTAACAAGCTCGGTACATATGATTTATATGCACCAACTTGAGGGGAAGTGTTAGAATAGTTATGTGAATATATGTAATTACTCCTAGTCCCTTATGTAATATGAGTATGATGTGTGTTATGTATACATATAAATAAGGCTTATTGTAACATAGAATATCAATAATAGATTTTTCTCTCGTGCATTCTCACATGCACAATATAATCAAAACTGGATTTTGGATGTTTTTACGGTATAGATATTATTGTATACATGTCTGGGAAGTTAATATAAGACTAATTTAACATATGAAAGAGCTTCGAATAAAGCATAATAAATATATATGATTACATAGCGAACCCAACTAGTTTAGGAGAAATGCCACAGTCAGTACTGTGAGATTTCTTAGATTCGCTATTCAAGATCTCAAGTTGGTAGATTTACTTTCTTTAACTGGTCGAGTTCATTCTATCCTAGGAGTATGCATATTTGCTAATCACTCCTTAGTCTAAGGCAACACATAATAATAGAAGTTAAAAAATTTTGTGGGAATTTTTAAGTTGCAAGTTGACAATGCAACAAAAGTAACATACTCGAGTTTGTAAGAATCAAGCTTTGGACTAAGTTGCGCGGACTCTTGGTTTTTGGTGCCGCACCCGTCTCGACACGGGACGGGAGCGGGTGCGGGATACGTCCCGGATTCGATCAACTACCTTCGGATACTATGACCTGAGTCCATCGAGAAATTTGGGGGGAAATTGAGATTTTGATTTCTCAAAATTAAAAATAAAACAGATTTAAGACATGGGAAATGGCATACCTTCAATATTGTAGTACTTTTGTCTCATATTTGCTGCTTTTTCTGATAGACAATAGCAGAATTCAAGGGGTCGTGTTCTTAATTCGGACTTCTGGTAGACAATAGCAGTGATATAGATGGAGAGTTGGTGGAAGGCCTTGAATGACTTTCTTTTTCTCTTTATAGCTCTATTTTTTATAATTTTGAATTTTTTTAGCCGAATCCCCGCACCCGTATCCATACCTGGATCCGCACCCCCGAATCTTAAAATTTAGATTTTGCCGAATTCGACACTATGATCCGTGTCCGTATCGGATACCCGCACCCTAGTCTGAGCAACTTAGGCTTTGGATTTATTTTTTAAAAAATAGAAAAAAGATGTTTAAATACTAAAGCATGAGCATTGAGATGATGCATATGGAAAATTTCTATAATGAGACTTGAAAATGAGTATTTGGTTTCTTGTGAAAATGTTAATGTTTTTTGTTTTGAAGCTAGTGTGGATCATACCTAATCTCAGAGAAAATTCTGGAAGAAGGATTGAAACGCTACCTCGTTTTCACACACTTTGAATCGAACTTCAGAGATTTTTAAAATAAATGCACGCACCAATAGCGACATTGAGCAGCCGGAGATTGATTGGAAAGGCAGGCCCTCCTGTGGACCTATCTGCCCGTGCTCGTAGACCAATCGAAGGTCAAGACTGTAGTCTGGTGGAAAACAAAAATCGTCAAAAGCTTTGGTTGGTGCAGTTTTCTTTAGACCCACCCTTCATCATAATGAGGAGTCGACATCCCCTTCTCGATCATCAGTGATCAGACGCCTTTAACTTTTTCCTTTCTCCTCTTTGCATCAATGGCGTATCTGAGTTACCTTGTTCTCCTTCCTGATATCGTCTCCATTATTGAAGCAATATACCTAACATGTAAAGAAAAAAACAGACACGGTGAGTTATAAGCAAATTCATTAAGCTATTCTGGGAAACTTTGGAGTAATGAATAAGAGATGAGATAACTTGCGAATCCATAACTGAAGCACACAAATCATTCAAACTCTAGTGGTACCACCAAAATACATGAAAATCTCATGGTCATCGCAATGTTATGAGAAAGGCACTTAAACTCCATCACACGAAAAATCAACAGTTTGTAGGAACAAACATATCCCCAAAAGTAGGGTAAGAANCGCCACAACCCCCAACCCTAAAAGATCCGACTATGACATCAATTTCCTCTTCCGTACAAGAAAAAGGAAAGAGAATGGCAATACAAACAGATGCATTTGTTTTACAACTGGTATTACTTATTGTGCTTTGGTAATACTAAGGCAATCTGCATCTGTGACTTTTACTAAGGTCTCAAGGCTTACACCTTTGAAGGCAATCTACATCTGTGACTTTTACTAAGGTCTCAAGGCTTACACCTTTGCCTTGTTTGTTAGCAGGTCAAGACAAATCACAATATGAAGGACCTTTACATAGGTTTTGGCATGTCAAAACATTAAAATGTGATGGAAATAATAGATCAATCTGTTCTTGGGAACTTCATAGTCTTTAGTTGTTTATCCTTTACTTGCAGTTGCTTTTCCTTTGAGCATGATGCAATAATATAGTACAATTACCCTTCAACTTTGCTTCATACAAGGTCTAGCAAAACTGGCACCAACAGTGATGCATTACCATGCTAAACGTGCAGATATCGTTTATCTGAAGAAAGCACATTAACTTGTGCATATCGCATAAAAGGACCGTACATATAAAGAAGTTGCAACAATCACTACATAAATCAGGGCAAAAGACAATAACTACAAAATCAAGAGCTAGCTACACAATAAGTAAACTCAGACATACTGTCGTCGCTTCTAAGAGGTCCTCAAACTTTCCTGTTAAGCACTTAGAAAGCGGATAAAAGATTATCATTGCCTTTCACCCAGGGGCGGATGTAGTGTATTACCTACGGGTTCAACTGAACCCATAACTTTCGACGCGGAGTAAAAAATTGTAAGTAAAAATTCATTAAAATTGCAAAAATAGTAGATTTGAACCCATAACTTTAAAAATATAATGGGTTCAATGCTAAAAATTTTAAAATTGAACCCATAGAATTTAAATCCTGGATCCGCCTCTGCTTTCACCGTACAAAAGGAAAGGTGAGAGCAACATGCATGTGATCGTAATAGATGAAAGCCAAATAAGTTAAGCTCTAGAATAAGAAACATTGAACTTCAAGAAACCACCTAGTCATAGCTCAAACTGAAATACACATCCAGAAGGAGCTCATTCAATCTGACTTTCCAAGAGATATAAAGGACCATAATGCTCTATTAGACCTTGCTCAGTGGTAAATTGTTCACGGATGAGGATTTATGAATCCTTAAGACTGTAATCAGTTAAGCAAACATATCTCCTCACTCAGCACCATCCTCACCACCCCTCCAACCCCAAAGAAAGACCTGATGCTAGTGATTCATTTACGAGGCACTCCTGAACTATCTGTCTATCTCAGAAGAAAGAAAAATTACATTAATTACAAACATACACGTATGAATCAGGGAATTCTCTCACCAAGCTAAAACTAAAAAAAATGTTTGGCAAAAGGTAAAATTTTATAAAATGAGTAGCACCAAGGAGGTACTTAACTTTACAAACAGTACCAGTCTTCTACTTCTGCCTGTAAGTAGTCCAAAAGAACCAGGATATCAACAAAATCAGCTGCTACACCTTTTACACCAACTATACAAGAATACCGTGCTCAATTTTTGTACTAAGCATCTCACATTCCCAATCTCCTAATCATTGAAATTTCTTCCGGAAAGAAGATTCCATCCACCTTCAGAAAAGCAGCTTGTAACAAGTTTTGTTAATGACGAGTTAATATAAATCTGGAAAAACGTCCCCAAGGCAGTATTTATCCAGCCAAAGCCTGATATTTCTTCTATTTTCGACTTTTAAGCCTGTATGTGAATTAAATTCATCCCAGCAACTTTGAATTTACTTCCATATAGCTACTCCATAAGGAGCCTTCACCGGCTTTGTGTACTAGGGAGATTCCATCTCATATATTTTACATTCATAACTTTCTTCCAGTCTCTTCCATCATTAAACCTCCGGTGCCATTTCTATAACAAAATTTTGTTGTTAATTTTCAAATTTTCTAACTCCCCTTCCACCTTCTGTTTTGTCTTTCATGACTGCCGACCATTTCACTAAATGATGCTTTCTGTTGTCACCCCCACCTTCCCACAAGGAGTCTGATCTGAATCTATTTACAGGCATTACAAATACTAGAAGAAAATCTTTCAGCAGAATGATACATTCTTTCCAACTCATGTAACATGCTACCATATTTTTAAAGGCAAATAACTGTATTGAGTGACCTAATCCCCTTGTTCCGACAGACTATCCAATGCACTCCTTGACAAGCACATATACGTCAGAATTATTTGAGAAGTGTGACCACAGTTGAAAGTCTAGAATCATACACAATTCAAAGGCTAATCATTTAAGGAAAACAGTTTTCTAAAGAAATCCAGTTTGTACTTAGCTGCATCTTATCTTATCTTTTTAAAAGAGAAACTGTATATATATATTTTTTCCTTCCCTTAAGTTTCAATTCTTCATTCAAGTAAATATTTGTTAGAGAAGCATTATTATTTTCACGTGGACAAATTTCCCTTTCACCATCCTTTCCTTGTTCCGATGATGATCTATATGTTGTAAAGTTCTTCTAGCAAAATCTTCTAATAATTAATCATCTTTCATATTTTTTAATTGTGATGCATCTACAATCAGAAACTAAAGCAAGTGCACTAACTTTCTAACAAGTAATTCATGATTGAATTGTTGTACTGACTGTTAAAGCATCGCCCTGACATTTTGTCTTCAATTTGTGAAAAAGATAGAATACTTTTGCTAGAAAAGTTGTTTATTGAGATTTGACAAAGTGAAATTTTTAAAGGAAAAAAGAATTAAATGCATCCAAGAAAATGCCAAAGGTAAGTAACTGAAAATCCATATAATCATGGTAATCTCAGATAGAGTCAGATTACACTTGTTCTTTCTCATATAGAATCAGATTACACTTGTTCTTTCTCATACAGAATC